TGAAGAGTTCTCCTTTATTTAAACTAGCAACTTCTACAATGCAGAATTTTGTATTATTGGAATACATGTAGCTTCCAGGCAAAGCCAAGATAGTCTTCTTTTGCCAAATTAAAGGACTTGTCATCTATACACATGACTTGTCTAAAACAGTGTTTTGCTATTTGTTGCTCTTCAATTTCCAACCTGGAAATGTAGAAGTCTTTTCTGTTGCAAACCGATCATATATACATTTGATGATGCCGGCAATTAAATTTATTTGCCCACTTGATCGCAAAGAAATAATTCTTCTTTAATGTGCTACATCTTTATTACTGGATAGTATATAACATATAATAAAAGCCGGTAGAATTGATCTCTGAATTAGCATGGTTGAGTCTGGGCTGAGAATGTAGGTTAAACTTTTATTTTAATTGGTTGGATCATGGATCATATTAAAAGAACAACTTGATATAAGTACTATATGCTCCCAAAAATAAGTCAAATACAAATTTTAAAATGTGAAGCACACATCAGTAGGATGTTGGTTCAAATTTGTTTTTGAGCATGGAGTCACTGTATGATATGGTACAATTGTTAGGGTGGAGATTCCTTTTTCTACAAAGTCTTCATTTTACTGGCTAACAATAATTGAATTTTAGGCTAACAGGATTATTGCTTCTTACCAAAAATTAAGCCGCTCAAATATTGTATCCAAAAGTAAGAAATAGTTGGTCTTCTACTCCTTCCTAGGTGTGCCAGGTGCTTATTGCAGAAGGTACCTATTAAAAACAAAAAATGGCCAATATTATATTAAATAAATGATATCAGATTACATCATTCATGTATATAGTTGTATGTGTGTATTTTCATATTCATATTCATAAAATTCAGCGTAGTTGCTGTTACGGGAAGCCCAGATTAAAATACTATGTGTTTTGCCTATATCTTCTGTATTAATGTTATTGGTGTAATTTTTCTGCAATATTGAAAACGGAAAAGTCAAAAGAGTTTCAACTTTAAAACTGATGATTGGTTTACATGAGACAAACTTTACTCCAGAAACTCTAAGCCAAGACATACTTACTTTTACTTTCAGGCAGATGTTTAATTCCAGCTCTTAGAACACCAGCATTTGTTATTCGAAATGAAATGATGAAGGTTACAGAACAAATACTCAAGTATCTTCCTTTACTTGGCTCTATCTCTTAATCAACAGCACAATAACGGTCTTTATAGATGAATCCCCTATTCCATTATCCTTGTGTGTATAGATGGGTCTGTGGTTTTATTTTGAAAATTAACAATGCCAGACTAAAACAGGTCAAACATTTTCCATCCAATGTGAAGAATTGATATATTCTGTGTCTCCCAGAATCTACTTAACTGGACTGGATTGGAAAAGAGATAATACCAAGAAGTTTTTCTAGTGACTTGGATTCTTAAGAAGAAATCTAGCGAATATAGATGGGGAATGTATGAAACTCTGTTAGACTATGAATCAATGGTAAAGGACAAATAAATGATTTTTTAAAAAATTAAATTTCTGAAGTATAACAATTAAGGTTTTAAACTTTGCATTTGTGTAACGTGTATGTATGGGAGGTGGTCTGATTGGTGTGTAAAGTTTTTCTCTCTCTCTCCCTTCATTTTAATTAAGCAAGCCCAGGTGGTAACTCAACATAGCAAACATATTTTCCTAACCTTTATTGTACCTCATTAGAATTCTCTCTTTTAAAAGGATTTCTAATTATATTGTCTAATAAAACTAAACCTTAGAGATCATTTGCATATTATATGAAGAAATCTCATACAATAAACTCACAGTGGATTCAATTAACATAATAGCTAATTATATATCCCATCAGCCTTTTGAGTGGTTCAGCATTCATGTTTCTCCTGCACTAGCCTAAAGCAAATGGGTGTGTGTGTGTGTGTGTATGTACACGATTGAGTTTTCATTTTTAAATACTGACCCTTAATAAATATTGAAAATTGGAATATTGTTCCCAATGAGAAAGCTGGTGATTTTTTTCTGCATGGAAAAGTCTAAAGAAATGCATATTTCTATTCACTTTTGTATGGATCTACTTCTACTTGTGCATATTTATGGATTGTTGTAGATACACACATACACAAACACACAAAAGCAGGCATAAATCATATATTGTGAAACCTGGATAGAAGAGAGGGGGAAAATTCTTAAGTAGTGTTCAGAAATATTTGATTGGCTATCTGGGTTTTGGAAACTGTCCATTTGTAGCAGTTAACGTTTTTATTTTTCTTTCCACATCCCAATTGCTTTCTTGGTGATTTGCGTTCTCTATCAAGGCAGAAATTTATGATGAAATTAGCAGAGACACAGTAATAAACTGGATCATGAGCTTCCATGTAATTGACTGTTATGAAGGTGTCATTGTTGCTTGTAATGAATTCTCCATCCTGGGGCTTAAAATTGGCTAAAATATCTTGGAATTGTGGTGTGTCTCCATTCTTCCACCCGCGAGGTGTGTTGATGTTTAACTTCCCCCTCCCTTCTTCTTCTTTTAGGTTTTGTGATCTTGGAAAGACTATCTGACCGCTGGTTTGAGAGTCTTCCTTTTTTTCTTCTTCTTCGTTTTTTTTTAAAGATGTGGTCAGCATGCTCTGAAAGATTTGGCAACACAAGTGATTTCTTTGAAAACGTTTAGGCTTAATCTACTCCACTGCTAACATTGTTTCCACATGCTACAAACATCCAGTTAGGGAAATGGAAGGGGGTTTGTTTTGTTTTGGTTTTTTGGGGGGGGGGTGTTGTTCCATGTTGCTCTGTTGTGGTTGTTTGAAATGATGGCGAAATTTGATGCAGAATAAGATGCCTTTCTTTCTTTTGAATGACGGCTGACTTGTTATTCATATTTTAATGAGGTTACAATCTCTAAGGCAGTTTTTCCAGGGTGGAGGCCCCACATCTCCTGGGTGATTACAATAGGAGCTGTCTATTGAGAAGGACCATTCAGAATCTTTTAGGGCTTTCATAGAATTGCTTTTGGTTTCTGCCCCTTGTCCAACCTAAATCCCCCCCCCTCCCTTTCCAATTTTATTATTAAAGCAATTTTAAAGTATACTTAACTTTGGGAGGGATGGTTTTGCACGGGTGGCTATTTGATATATCTTTCTCAAAACTCTGCGCAAGTGGAAATATAAATTGCGGTGGCCTTCTAGGGCTTAACTCGGGAGCCGAGAAAATTATACAAAAGCAGGACTGCTATTTCCCGTCTTGAATTGGTGTTAAGAACCTCATCTATTAATGCGTGTATTTTGGTGAGGGTATGGATTTTGTACCTGCAGCATCTCCTTGTACGCAAAACTCTGCAAACAGAGAGTTTTCTCTGCTTAGGAGTTTTGTAAAACAGGAACACCATCTGGATGCCTTGCGTTAAATTTAGTTATGGTCCTTTTAAATAGTTGGGGGTGGGAGAAGGGAAGAAATATTGGGACTTTATTTGTTGCAGCTACTTTGTTCAATGAAAAAAAATAGGCTATTGAAAATGGTCGTGAAAGCAAGCAAGTCCCTCAGAAATATATTGGAGTGGGTAGAGTGTATGCCTCTTTTTTCTACAATTATTCTGTACATATTTTATATCTGCATAGGATCAGTACCACCAAACATTCTTTTGGAGTAGTTAATGTTGAGCTTTTCTTGTTCTTTCCTATTTCTATAAGGTTTCTAACTACAAGGTAGGACAAGGTAAAAAGGAGGGAGGCCTATTGTAAAGAAAGGCCTACTTCGAGATGCACAAGAGATTGGGGGGGTGGGGTGGAGAGAAGGGACTCTAAGCGTTAATTTTAATTCTCCTGCCTTTATTTCCCTGATTTGTGACCAGATGGTGGTGAAGGAAGGGTCTCCCCTTTGTGTAAATGGAGCACACATATGAAAGTCCTTCTGTAATGTAATCGTTGAGACCGGAAGGGTTCATACTGCGTGTGAAAAGAGACAATGGGGACGGGATATATCAACACTGAAGAAATCGAGTTCATTTGTGATTCAGGTTCTTTGACTCTGGTTGTCATGATAACTTCCTCCTTTGATCAGCAGAGGGTGAAGAGGGGAAATCTCCTAAAAGGCCCAAAAGATGCAGCTCTGTTGTTTACTGTGCACTTGGCTTCAATTCACGCCCTCTTCCGGAAGAAGTTCCAGAGATGGGAGCAATCGTGCACCTTGACCTGTCTAGACGGGAGAGAAGGTTTTTTTGTCTCTGTTACCAAGAGCATGGGGTGCTCTTTGACCCTTGTAGCATTGACTGCTGAGACCCTCGCTAAGTACGTAGGTAGTGTGTGTCTAAATGTGTCCCCCTGAATTCTTGCTTAACTCTGAAGGAAGAGGAAAGGGCGAAGACATGGGCCAGCTGTTTGAAATAGTAGATTCTGGGAGAAGAAGAGTTTTGTAAGTGATTATTTTCTTTGCCCAAACCCTTGGGAGGCATTAAACAGCTGCAAGTGACTTGACGAACAGAAAGTCAGACTAACTGAAGGATGGACGGGTGTGTGGGTGTGCGTGTGTGAGTGTGTGGGTGTGTTGGGGGGGGGGGTAGAATGTTTGGAAACTTTGCTTTGGTTAAAGAAACCAAGCACATTCTAACAAGGAATCTATTAAGTCTTCACTGAGACCCGGAAAGCAAAGTTTCTCTCTTTATGAGTTTTGAACATAAAATATACCTCTGCTGCAATTTTTTTTTTAAAAAAAATTAAGAACTTCTTGCATTTAAAATCAGCTTACAATGGCACGTATAATTTCAGCCTAAAAGGAATATTTTATTATCACCTTAAATGTTTAATTATTTCCAGACTCATCCTAGATTTAGCTGACATTTTTAATTATATATGTAATACGATATCAGACAATAATTATTTAGATACGGAGATCTGCAGGCATTGTTCTGTACTGTCAATCCAGGTTAAGGATTCTGTGTTTATGTACGCCTGCAGGATTCTGCCTTGGTAAAATCTGAAAAATGTATGTTTCTGTAAATCTTTTTCTTCAGATTCCTTTTGCAAAGTCAGAGACCTTCTTAACAGACATTTTGGAAAATATATGCGATCGGATGAATGATTACAAACTTGAGGATGATCCTGTAACTAAGAAAAAGATATTCAAGAGATATGCTCCGAGGAAGGATGAGGAAATATATCCAATATATAAACAATATTTCTTTTATTCTGATGCTTATAAACCCTTGAAATATGCGGTAAGACAGCAGAATATACTAATGACTTTGGGAGATGAACTGTTTTGACCCTCACATTTGATATTGTAGATTAATTTGCTTCCCTGAATCTAAATTTAGGGATTTTATAGTATTTGGATATCTTTCAGGCCCTGGGTTAATTTGCCTTAAATAATAATGAATGGGGTGGGATGGGTTAAAGCGAGCGAAACACCATGAAACATAGATCTCAATATTCTTCAGAACAAGTATGCATGGGTAATGCCACTTTATTTTCACTTTGGGTTATCAAATATTTAAGTTGAAATAATTTTAAAGTAAACGATAGAAAAGCATTTAAAAATAAACGATAGAAAAGCAATACAAATCTACCCTCCATGATTTTCAGCAATATGAATCTAAAGACCACTTCTCTGTTCTGCAACAAAACAAATTGTGACGCTAGGTTTTGCATTCAGATTTTAAAATTGCTAATTCAAATGCTGATGGTTATTGGAGTGATAGAGAGTTTAGTTATTGTTTCTTTTTTCCAGTTTTTCTTTCTTTGGACTTTGTTGAGAGCTAGAATGGAGGCCTAGAGCAAGGTGACACAAGAGGGTCGCTCTTGAGCTGGCCTGTGCCTCAAACATCAACAAATTCTCATGAAAAATAATATTTTCAACATGGGCCTGTGGAAAAAAAAAGAAAGAAATCTGGAAATATATTTGTCCACTCATCCAAAATTAGACCTATGGGAAAGAAAGCAAGTCTTGTTCTTTTAGAAAAATTTACTTCGGGATTCTAATAGGTCTGGAGCTCTTGTGGAGTATTTTAATGCCAGTTAAATTCCTTGCCAACAAGAGTTGGTTTCTTTAACTAAATTAATAACTGATCTTCAGCAATTACCACAATGATCAAATAAGGAATTTGGGCAAAGGGATTCCTGCAGGAATCTCATTATCTACTTATTTTACCTTTTATTTGATTCTAAAACCAAGAAGGTTGTTTTAGGATCATCCAAAATGTTTTGCAAAATTCTAAATTAAACGTAAGAGAGCATGTATAAAATGTTAAGGAACTAATTTTTAAATTTTCATTTTTCGGAGACATTATTTGCATTACAAAATCCGTGGAGACTTACTTCATGTGCTGAAGCAGTATTTATTTAAGAATGCACACCACATATGAGATTTGAACCTAAAAACTGGATTCTTGGGGTAGGGTGTAGAATTTTATGGTAGAATCGGGTCTTTTTGTGATAAAAGTTGGCTTCCTGGTTATTTTTAAGGTCATCTTACAGAATGTTTCTCCCTTGCTGGGATTCCCTGTAGATTTTGGGGACAGGAGCTTATAGCCAATGCTTAAGGCCAAGTGACCAAGAAAAACTGCATTGGGAGAAGGCCCAATGCTGACCAAATCAGAAATATGACTGATGTTATATGAAGTCACTGATACGTTCTTCATTTTGAAAAATAAGTAATCATTTGGTGATATAGTGAAATAGTTTCTTTCCCCTTATGCACATACTGTATACGTTTTATCCATTCCGTCCATTTCAAAGTATTAGCATCAATCCCTAGAACCGTTTCAACCAACTGTGTATGAATAACCTGTATTAAGCGGAATCATTCATCATTTGCTTTCAACAGATAGAATTTGAATGAGCCTATAATGAAATCTCAATATATATTGTTAATGCTGTGTACTGTTACAGTACAACCCGATCAGGCAGGCACGCTGCCTTGGCACACACACAAAAAAAACCCAAGAAATAAAAAAGCGACAATCCCAAATTGTCTTTCTTGACATAATATCCTTTGGTTGCTCTGTGTAAATGGCCTTGTTTAGTTCTTTGCTGCTGTTTTTCCCTCTTTACAGTGTGAGACTATCATAGAACAGTATGAAGATGAAATATTCTCAGTTATCACTCGGGAGTCACACTCTCTGGCTGACAAGCTGTGCATTGAAAAATCAGGTACTGTGTCTGATGTAACATGTGCTTCTTTCTCAACAGCAATTCTCTCCCCCCTTCCCCTTCTCCCCCCCCCCCCGCCCCCACCAATCCATTTATGCGTTGCTGGGATGCAACAAAACACTTTGGAAAATAATATTTTCTAGATTGAAGAGGATGCATGGGCATTGCTAAGGAATGCCATGCCAAGGAAAGTTGGTTAAAGAAAGAAGAAATATATTTGCCTATTCATCCAAAAGAAATCATATTCAAAACAAGATTTGTTTTCTTTTGGGTGAATAGGCAAATAGATATTTTAGACGGGTTTACTTCAGGATCTGGAGTTCCAGTAGAGTATTTTAATGCTGGCTAAATTCCCTGCCTAAATTCCTTTAACTAAGTTAACATCTGATTTTTAACGATTATGAAGACAATAATGGAAATAGAATTTAAGAGATGGTATTCCTGCCAGAATCTCTTCATCTATTCATTTTGGCTTCAGTTTCAGATAGTTGATTCTAAAACCAAAAAGGTTGTTTTAGGGCTATCCAATCTCTTGTGTCAAATTCTAAATAAACATAAACTGAAATACTATGGACAGCTATTTGTGTAAGACCACAAAACAAGCTGGGTCTTAGCAGGAAATGTACATGGGATGAAGTTGCTATCCCCTCTGAATGAGCAGATTGTAAAAATATGTGAGTTTTAAAAAGCTGATTTAGAGAGATAACATCTAATGTTAACGCTAGCAAATGTTAACAGGGCCAATTAGTGGGTAATAAAATAATTCATAAGAATACAGGGGAGAAATTAATAATTTACATAGTCTAGAAATTTGTAATTGTTAAAAAAATATTCTAATGCAAATAAAAGATAAATTATTTACATTTCATCTATCACTTGATCATAATATAATTGATGTTCTTAATATAGTAGAAACAAATTGTCCCACAGGGTCACTTTTAAAACTCATGTACAGTTTTCCTTCCAAAGTTTTCAGGCAATGTGAAAGTAAAGAGAAAAGTGTAGAAATAAGCAGGAAGAAAGAGAAAGAATAGTATGAGTCAATTCCCTCCAGCATGTTAATCTCATTTTCAAATTTGCTTTTGTTTTGAGGCACCAATTTCTCCAGTCTATACCCTTTCAGTTGTCTTTCTTCCTCTTGTTCTTGACAAAGTAAGATGTGATATATTGGGTTCTTAGATGCACTGTATGCACACTTATCCAGATGGCAACCTTAAATAAACAGGATTCATTTAAAAATAAATGTGGTAGAATCACGCTGAGTCTAGGTTGTGGTCTTCCCCGGTTAATAGTGAAAATAATGGATCTTTTGGTCAGATCGGTATCTATCTGCCTGCCTGTCTGCTCATATGGCTACCATCTATCTGACTATAGATCATAATTTCAAGACAACTGCAGTATTCTCATTTTGGTAATGTGGCTTCCTTCAATTTAATAGGGTTTGAGAAGTTGGTGACCTTTGATTAGAAGCTGTGGGACTTATTTCCCTCCAATAATATTTAGAACTGTGAAGCTAGATTGCTCCTCTAAGACAATTTACTTAGTCTAAAGTGTGTTTAGGATTGTGGCAAAATCCTACAATGACTAGAAAGGCTCCGGAGACCAATAGAAACCATAAACATTTCTTATTGAAGAACTGAAGAGAAATATTGATGAGGAGGAGGAGAAGGAGGAAGAGGAGGAGGTTGTAGTTTTCTATTAGCGCCTGCGCAGGTTATTTACAAGAAACAAGGAAAAACAAATGGCAGGAAAGATCAGCAGTTCTGTCTGACCTTGTAAAATCTCACAGGATTATAAATATGCTAAAGTGAAAACTCAGAAAGAAAAGTAAACAAGCATACATTCTTTCTATTGCTTCAGTAGGTAGAAAGTTTTTAAAAGATCCCCTTCCAAGTGCTGAAGCACAGAGAGGGTTTTCCAAAAAGGAAAAAAAGGGGGAATTATAGATACTCATTCCAATTATAAAAAATGTTCAGCTTTTTAGCACTTGTGTTTACTAGCTGACGTCTGCCTCAAAACCAGGAGAGGGGGAAAAAAAATCACATTTTCCAGAAATTTCCCCATAAATGTAAGAAACGAAAGAGCCTAACAAAATGTAGGGAAACCCTGAGGGAGCTGAATGTAACCAACTCATTTCCCATCTCTGCAAATCATATTATAGCTTTGATTATAAACTTCTTTAAATGCTATTAGTTATTTCCACCAGGCAATACATGTATAACATAATGATATGAAATTTGTGGAAAAAAATGACCTAGTTGAAGTGACTATTTGTGTCAGTATGAATTTCTCTACAACACAAAAGGTAAACAGTCTTTGTGGAATGTTTTACAAGGCACACTTTAGCCATTATGACATATTTGTGTACAAAAAAGATGGCTTGCAAAGCACTTACTGATTTATGTACCTCTTTCATCAGGGGAGGTAGAAACGCAAAGCATCATTATCTTATTAAAAGCAATATATGATAAATTCTCTATGAATTTAATTCCTTTTCCTGTAATCTGTCAAACTGAGGCAACCTTTAGCTAGAAAAATATGTGGTGTTTCTTCCATGTTTACATGATGTTTGCATCTGGTGTTTCATTTTTTTAAAAAGCCAAAAACTCTTTCACAAGCTATGTTAAAAAGATGAAGGTTGTTGGTTTTTTTATATATACAGACAACCATGGATCAGTTATCTGTCAAAAGATTTCTTTGATCTCACTTAAAATCTCTATATTTCTCTTTCTGCCTGGAAGGATTCAAAAGAGTGAAACAGCCTTTATCTATTCTTACGAAGATGTTTTCTCCTCTACTTAAAGGAATTGTTTCTGAAGTTAATAGACATTGTAGTCCTTAGTTGGAAACTAAGATTTGCTGTTAGGATCATTGACAATAATATAAATGCATAACTCAGAATTTATTGTTGTGCCAGTGAAATTGGGTAGACAATAATTTGCCTAAAGGACAATTTTCATTGTCCCACTATTATTTTGTAATTTTGCTGTTTAGAAGCAATAGGATTAAGACATTGGTCAAGAATGTAGTATTCTTGGATTTGTATCAGTTAATTTGGTTCAACAACATAATAGACTGCCTCTATGTCCATCTGTCCCCAACCCATTATTATCATTAAGGTAATATAGAGGTTTCCATTATTCTAATCGGCTTCACGTGCTCATAACTCTGAAAAATTATTCTCTTTGGATGAAATTTTTCATTCTCATCCCAAAGGTGAATTTATTTATCTATGTAGGAAGCTTGAACAGAAGCCATTAATGCATTTTTAAGTCTCACAAGGGTAGAAAAACGCTTCTATTATTCTATAAAAGCCTGGCGTTTTTGCTTCCATTTCACTTGCTCAGTTTGGCACATCTATTATTGCTCCAAAAGCTTTCAAATTCAGTGCTTCATAGGCAACTTGCTAAGACTACCCTTCGAAATGGGTTGCCAGCCCAAGACAAGGCGACCAAGTCCTACACAATGCAACTCAGTGTTAATATACAAATGATGCTAACATTTTCACTGTATTCTAATAACATTCTTTGGGATTTGAAGATAAAGATGTACTCTCCACTGATCTATTTTTAATGAGCCTTTACAGTTTTATAATTATCTTTTCTTCTCCCTCCTGCCCAGAAATTTCTAGTAAATACAGAGTTTTATTAATCTTCCCCTATGATGGGTTGTGTAAATTCAAGCTTTCTAGGAATAAACGCAGCAGTCATCTGAGGACAATCTCTTTCCGATAGCCCTTTTTATTTTTTTTCTTTGATGTTATTTTGTAATTCTGATTTTAGCTTATTATTTATATCTCTTTGACCTCTTTAAAAGAATAAGAAAAACCCAAGTATGTCACAATAGGAAAAAAAACTTGTTTATTTTGTTTTGCTAAAGTATCTGAAACATATTCCTATTGCCAAATACTGAATCAGTTCAAGCTCAGACTATTTATGTTGTCAGAGATTAGATGCCAGTATTAACTCTGGTGATTCAGAAATAAGCAGCACAAGAAGGGGATTTATTTCCCAATAATTTTGTTAAAAACTGTGGCTGTGATATTTAGATAAATGGGCAGGAACCTTCTACAAAGAGCATTTAATATTTTTATGCCAAAGTTCTTTGTTTATTAAATTGAAACAAAGGAAAATACTGAATGAAAACTTGTGTGTTGTGTATAAGAATAGACACTTCTGACAAATTTATAAAGAAAGAGAACAATCATGTTAAATAGCGATTCAATCATCACAAATTTGCTCATTGTTTTAATGCCAGCCATTTGCCCAAAATATGGACTTTCAGATACTGCTCACTCCCAAGATTTTTTTTTATCTTAACACACCTATAATTATGTGTGAAGTTATATTGAAAAATCTGGTTGCACTGTTTTAAAATACTGTGTCAAATCATTGAATACATTGGAACAGCCTTAAAATAAAATAAAAAAAACCTAATATGATATTAAAAACCCATCAGAAACTCTCTCTTTTAAAATGTGTATCAAGATATGATTTATGATTTTTGAACAGTGGTGAATAATCTATTGTACTATCATGATCAAGGGTATCTGAAACCTGAATAAATATGAACATGTAATTGTGAGATAATCTAATTGTTTGATCTTCCATTGGTGTCTAATTTTGCCCTCTCTTGATAGGTCTTTGTCAAGAAGATGAGACGCACACTGAACTTTAAAAGGCAACTATTATTATTATTATTATTATTATTATTATTATTATTATTATTATTATTATTATTATTATTAAATATCAATATTATATGGATGAAGAATATAAACTAAAATAATTCTACATTCTCTATCTTCCATTAATCTTCATAACAAACCTTTATATAGACTAATCATTAACATGCCTGTTTGTCTTGTCTATTTCAGATATTGGACTAAGTTAGTGGGGGAAACTCTTCACTCTTTAAAGCTGCTGTGTCAGTTGTACTCAAAAACCCTGTGCTTTTCATAGGTGTTAATTATGAGTAAAAATGCCATTTCAAATCTATGTGAGTTGTACTTTTCCAAAACCTGCTGACTTATTCTCTGTAGCTTTAGATCAATGCTAGGGCAGTTTTCTAAACCAGAATGGGACACCTCGCTGCAGCCAACTCTCTAGGCTAGTTTGCCATGGTCAACTCACCACAGCCAACTGACCACAAGTCAACTTGCCATGGCCAACTCAACACGAGAAAACTTGCCATGGCCAACTCAACGCAAGAAAACTTGCCATGGCCAACTCAACACAAGAAAACTTGCCATGGCCAACTCACCACAGGAGAATTTGCTGTGGGACAATTCAACAATTCAATTTAATTAGTTAAAATAGTTTGGGGGGAAAATGTATCATTCACATTTCATTTTGTCCCTCCTTTGGCATCCTTTCTTTAATAATTCTATCGCTTTTTCCATATTAGTGTAACTCTTCTCCCACGGTGAGTTGGCCATGGCAAGTTGTCATAGAAAATTTGATGTGCCTTATATAAAATTGTTTTACTTAGGAGCAAAGCAGTGGTGGGTTCCTAACCAGTTTACTCTGTCTTATATTCGGGGAAATATGGTAACCAGTTATTAAACAAATGATCGTAAGTCACAGACTATCTGTATTGTGGCCAAGAGGGTGTTTTGCACATACGCTGCTCACTGCTCACTTATATAAAATTGTTTTACTTAGGAGCAAAGCAGTGGTGGGTTCCTAACCAGTTTACTGTCTTATATTTGGGGAAATATGGTAACCAGTTATTAAACAAATGATTGTAAGTCACAGACTATCTGTACTGTGGCCAAGAGGGCGTTTTGCACATACGCTACTCACTGCTCACTACACGCAAAGGGAATGTGCCGCCATGTGTTGCTGCGCATCTGCAGCTGACTGAAAACTGTTCTGCAGATGCGCAGAAACATCCCTGTGATGGCAGAAGAGACCCGGGAACCAGTTCCGGGGCGTGGCAGGCCTGGGTCGCTGCCGGTTCCAGTGACCCAGGCCGCTATACCACTACCGGTTCGGCCAAACCGATCGGAACCCACCAATGGAGCAAAGGGTCACCAACAGGTTTTACTCCCTGGATTTGGGGAAAGAATGAGTAATGAAAATGAAATAATTGATCAACGTGGCTGTTTTAACTGGACAATCCAATCAGTTCATATGGTACCTTCTTATTATTATTTTTTTAAAAAATCATTTTGTAAGTAGGCAGCTCAGGTAGGAAAACATGACTCCAGCATCAATAAACCATGTCTAATAGTTTGGTTGGAGGGTATTACTAACTCAGGAATATAATTGTTTATTATTTCTTACACTGCATAATAAAAAGATTTTCCTCATTTCAGTGGTTGTGGCTTTCAATTCCTTTTCCCACTTCGCAGTAACTTCTTACTAATGGATCAGTATGTTTAGCATTTTAAACACACCCTCGTCTATACTATTTCCATTGGAAAATATGTTTGAGTGATTTCCATTGTATATCACAGATGATTCACCCATGAAAACTCCCACATTCTTTTTGGGAGGGAAAGATGATATTTATTTAAAGTCACAATATGAACTTTCAATCTGTATTTTGAAAAAGGCAAAGCCATAGAATCAACTTTTCATGGCAGCTGTTACATATTTTTAAAGTTACAATATTTAGGCCGGCAGTGAGATTCTTAGGAACCTGGCAAACTCGTTTCGATAGTTAAAATGTTAAAAGTAAGGACATTTGTACAGGTAGTGTCTTGACTTATGACCACAACTGAGTCCAAAATTTCCATTGCTAAGTGAGACAGCTGTTAAGTAAATTTTACCCCATTTTACGATCTTTCCTGCCACTGTTGTTCAATGAATTGTTGCGGTTGTTAAATTAGTAACATAGTTGTTAAGTGAATCTTGCTTCTTCATTCCCTTTGCTGGTCAGAAGGTTGCAACAGGAGATCACATGACCTTAGGACCACTGCAACCATCATAAATGCATGCCAGAGGGAACACATCTAAATTTGGATCACATGATCACAGGCTGCAATGATCTTAAGTGCGAAAAATGGCCATAATATAAGTCACTTTTTCAATGTCATTGTATCCTGTTTCCCTGAAAATAAGACCTCCCCAGATAATAAGCCCAATCACGTTTTTGAATGCATGCACTAAAATAAGCCCTCCCCCAAAATAAGCCCTCCCCAAAAATATTGCAACACAGCAGCAGGCATGAAGTGACCACACTCACCACCTCCTGTACCTCAAAAATAATAAGACCTCCCCAAAAATAAGGACAAGAGTTTATTTTGGAGGTCAAAAGAAAATGTGACACTGTCTTATTTTCGGGGAATATGGTAACCAGTTATTAAACAAATGATCGTAAGTCACAGACTAGCTGTATTGTGGGCAAGAACAAATGATTTTAACATTACCTTTGGCTTATTCACATGAAGAACAATACACCGTCCCCCTATAGGAACCCCCCCCATTGATAGTTTAAAACTAGTATGTTTAAGTCTGGATACCATATTTCCCTGAAAATAAGACAAGATATTATTTTCTTTTGACCCCCAAAATAAGCGCTTGGCCTTATTTTCAGGGAGATCTTATTATTTTTGAGGTGCAGGAGGCAGTGACCGTGGTCACCTCATGGCTGCTGCTGTGTTGCAATATTTTGGAGGAAGGCTTATTTTGGGGGGGAGGGCTTCTGTTAGCGCATGTGGTCAAAAGCTCGATTGGGCTTATTATCCGGGGAGTTCTTATTTTTGAGGAAACAGGGTAATATTTTTGTTCCCTAAATAACACACATGGACTTAAAACTCAGTTCCACCAACTTCATTTTAATGTGTGCTGCATGTTTACAGCAATGAGCTCTAATTTCTATGGCTTTAATATTTAAATATAATATATTAAATTAGTGGGATGTATTACTGAATACGGAAAGTGATTTTTTATGCAAACAAAGACCTTCATTTCTCAATGAATTCAGAATTAAATGCTTTATAGTACAATCCTAATCCACAGAAAATCTGTGTGATTTTCTTCTGAATATATGTGTTTGGACTGCAGTGTTGATATAAATATAGACATATACTTGCATTGGCAATATTTTCAAATGTGTTATCATTAAATTTCTTTATTGTCATCTTGAAGAGTTGACTTTCTTTTGTTAAAAACCATGCATTTTTACTACAAAATATGGGTTTGCTTCTGTTGATTAATAAAGATGAAAATTTTTAGTCTGCTTCAGGACCTGAATTTTAACTTGAAATATAGGTTTCAATCGCACAAAAATATGAAGAAGAAACAAAAAGGATTTTTAGTTGGGTTCATTTTAGACAAATAGGATTGGATGTCTGGTCCCTACTTAATACATAGAACATTTAATGGAAAATGTCAAATTGTTTACTTCGGTTTTCATGGAATACTATTGATTTTAGAGCAATAATAATAAGTTACCCCAAATCATTCACTATATATTTGTCACTGTATTTGTGTAATTCCTTTGCTGCTCTGTTCCTGCAGCTTTCAGAAATAAACTGTACGTTATTAAGGAAAAAAATAAAACAGCATAGACTTCCAACAAGTGGTGAAATTCAATTTTTTTTACTACTGTTCTGTGGGTGTGGCTTGGTGGGCATGGCCGGGGAAGGATACTGTAAAATCCCCATTCCCTCCCCACTCCAGGGGGAAGGATATTGCAAAATCTCCATTCCCATCCCACCCTAATGCCAGACCACTCTGGTGCCAGCCAAAGGTGGTATTTGCTGGTTGTCCGAACTACTCAAAATTTCCACTACCAGTTCTCCAGTACCTGCTGAATTTCACCCCTGCTTCCAACCATTTTAACTCCAAAACCATCCGCCATAGGCAAGCCAAATCTTAATGTCATCCATTACTCATTATAATCTATGTTTCAATAGTCCTGTGAAAGTTCATTACAGAGGCAGTGTTCCAGGTTTATGAAAGTTCCTTTTCACAGAAAGTGGGATCTATCTATAGAGTTGTTTATAGGGTACCCACAGAATGAATTTCTTTTGGGGAAAAGACTATCAGGAAGTCTTTTCTCCTGGATCTTTTGGGATAAGAAGGTGGTCTTGAAGATATCCAGGCCTGCATCCATAAGGACATTTATATAGCAATAGTACTTAGACATATACTGCTCCACAGTGCTTCACACTGTGGAGCAGTATATAAGTAGTTTACAAAGTCAGCCCTCAACAATCTGGATCCTCATTTTATCGACCTTGGAAGGATGAAAGGTTTAGTCAATCTGGATCTGGTCAGAATCGAACACCAAGAATGAGCAGTGGGTTAACCTGCAGTACTGCATTCTAACCACTGCACCACCATGATTCCAAAGCCATCAACTTCTGAGGCTATCACCTTGTTTTCATTCAAGAACGGCAAGTACTTTGTGGAACTCTTAAATCACCTTTTCCTTGCAAACAACATTCTACATATCATGAAAAACCAAGGAAATAGCATGAAGGCAGGAGCGTCTGGAGGGGGTGGGGGTGGGGGTGGGGGTTCAAAACAGTCAAAAGAGCAGTTGGGCCACTACAGTCGAAGCCCCTCCTGTTTGTAGATCTCAATGCACTTCCTAAAAAGGTGGACCATCAGTCTTCTGGTAACAGGTGTCATCTTGAAGTATTTCATCCCCCATTCTAGGAAGATGCCCTTGGATGTCAGATTACATAAATCAAAGCAGTAAAGTAGCTTATCCTAACCCCGTGATGGCGAACCTATGGCACGCCGAGCCCTCTCTGTGGGC